GGATTTGTAGATTTCTGCATGGCTTTTGGTTGCTGTCAAGTTAAAAACTGATCTACTACCCTTAGATATGCATAATAGCATTTTTTGCAGTACTCCTGACATTTTCTGCTTTACCCATGTGACAAATACATAATTGGTCTACTAAACATTCACCGGTGGAGAACCCATTTTTACTCCCGGTTGGAAACCTCCCGGTTTTCCAACCGGGAGTAGCAATTCGGGACTAAAGATGAACATCTTTAGTACTGGTTAAAATAACCGGGACTAGAGATGGATCTTTAGTCACGGTTGTTAACACCAACCGGGACTAAAGAGAGGGATCTTTAGTCCCGGTTGCTGTTACCAACCGGGAGTAAAGAGATAATAGTGGCAGTAATAGAAGGTCATTTTTTTTCCTTTTTATTTTCTCCCGAATCAAGTGGCATAGAAATCCCCAAATCGAAACCCAAATCCCCAAATCAAAGTAACATCCCAAATTCACATCACCAAATCCACATCACAAATCTTAAAGTTACTTGTACACACAAATCAAATGCATCACAGATCCATACAATGAATCACAAATTTATACATCTCAGTGAATCATAAATTATAAAAAAAACAAAAAACAAAAACAAAGCCGTTGCCGCCGCTCGCCACGGCCGCTGCCTACAGCCCTGCCGGATGGGAAAGGGAGGTGGGGGAAGAGGAGGAAGGGGAGGAGAGGGAGGAGAGGAGGAAGGGGAGGAGGTGGAGGAGAGGGGATGAGGAAGAGAGGATAGATCTGATATGTAGGAGAGGAGAGGGGGAGAGATTCGATCTGTGTGAGTTGCGATTGTGGAGGAGAGGATAAGTGAAAGGGATTATATACTACGCGTTCAATTTTAGTTCCGGTTCTTTTTGGACTAAAGATTTTACCAACACCAACCGGGACTAAAGATTCTCGGCCCCCTCACATACATCTGACAGGGGATGAACCGGGACTAAAAATGATATTAGTCCCGGTTGGTGTTGGTAACACCAACCGGGACTAAAGATCATAGAATGGCGGTAGGGTTTTCAACCGGGACTAAAGATCATTTTCAGTCCCGGTTCTTTTTGGAACTGGGACTATTGTGGTCTTGGGTCAACCCAGCAAAGATCATTTCTCCACCAGTGATTGATGGTTATTTGTGGTTTATGATGTTTCTTTAATTGATTTATTGAAGTGGCTATCAATCCCCTTAAGGTACTTTTGCTGCACGATTGTAATTCCTCTGTTTATAAGCCTTTATAGGTTTCATTATCAAAAGATATATTATTAGCAGAATATTTACTAGGTTGTGGATAACTTTCCTTTAGGTCAGAGATGTTGGAAGCTATTGAATAAGCTGACATAGTATTCTATAAGTCATTAATTCGATTGAAATCTTGCCTTCTTTTTTTCTTGCGCCAATCTCAACGTGATGCGTGGACTAATTAACAATTTTTTTTTTGTTACCGACTCAGCATGTCGTGAAGAAAACACTATCTGGATACCCCTTTATTTTTATGACTATTGGATATCAGATTTCACTGCAAATCAAATGAAGTTCACTGGGGCTTCAGGTGCTCGAGAACTTGTTAAACAAGGCCACTTACATGTTTTCCGATGAAGAGCTTAGTCAATGGTCAAATATGCTACTCCCTCCGTCCCGGAATATAAGGATTTTTAGGATTGAATACGGGTATTAAAAAAGTTTGTATAATTAAATGAGAGTGTTGTGATCGGTTGAGAAGTAGAGGTAGGTGAGAAAATTAAATGGTGGAGAGTTATGATCGGTTGAGAAGAGAATATGGTGAAGAAGTTGTTATAATTTTTGATAAACTTTGAGGTTAGAAGTTGTTATATTTTAGGATAAAGGGAGTAATATTTTTAGATGTATGTATCACCCTTAGTTTACCCTTAAACTCAGTAGCCTTGTATGTGGTCTACTTTCTGAAAATACTTCTATTGCATGATAGATGGGCTTGAAATGTATCTGTAGTATATTTACTCAACTTTTGTTGCAAGTGACCTGAATAAAACATGGATAGTTCTATTTAGCACACTTCATGGTGCAATAATACCTGTGGTGAGCATTTATTAATTTGCATTACTAAATGTCGCTGTAGCATTAGCATGGGCAAGTTACCAGTTTCTTTAGTTATAAAATTTGACAATAAATGTATAAGCTAGTTTTTAGTTGTAAAATAGGAAAAAGTACGAATTACCCCCCCCCCGAACTATCGCGGTCATCCGAATTACCCCCGTGAACCACAAAACCGGACATTCTTTACCCTCAACTATGTAAACCGGACGAATTACCCCCTCGACCCAATCCGCGGTGGTTTTGGTCTACGTGGCGTACACCTGGCAATCCAGTCAGCGTTTTTTAATTAAAAAATTGTGGGACCCGCATGTCATACTCTTCTTCCTCTCTCTCTATTCTCTTTCTCTCACACTCTTTTCTCTCTCGCGCAGCGCACACGGCGAGGACAAGCGCGGGGAAGGGCGGTCGGCGAGGACAGCGCAGTCATCGGTGCTCAGGACGTCGGCACGGAGGCGGAGGCGGAGGAGGAGCGTAGCGGCGGAGCTAGCTAGGTGGAGGACTCCGACTCCAGCGACTTGTTGATGTGAATGGCGAGGTGAGGATGGCAGCGCGCGGGGAAGGAGCCAGTTGTGGGTGGCGGAGGGGGCCCGAGGACGACGGCGGCCGGCGACGGAGGCGGAGGCTAACCGGGCGCGCGGGGACGCGCGGTGGGCGGCGGGCTCCTCCTCCTCGTCGTGGGCGCGCGGGGATGCGCAGTGGGCGGCGGGCTCTTCCACGGCGGTGGCGCGCAGGGACACGCGGTGGGACACCGCCGCCACCGCGGCTCCTCCTCTGAGCCGTCGCGCCGCACCCCGTCCCACCTCCCCGTGCCAGGATCAGCGACGGAGACTGGCAGATGCGGTTCCACCCGAGGACGTAGGCGTGGATGGTGACCGGGAATCCCGCTCCACCAGCCCCTTCCACTCGCCAATCCCGCTCCACCACCCCAGATCCAAACACGAGCTCGGTGATGCCTGGAAGGAGGAGACAAGCGGCGGCAAGCTCAGCGCGGCGGCATCGTAGCTCGGTGAGAGGGGTAATGCCGCAGGTGGCTTGGGTGACGGTGGTAGGCAAACGAGCTCAGGAAACATCGGAGCTCAGGGAGGGAACAACGGTGCGGCGTGGCTGGCCAGCGGCATCAGGGGATCGAGGATGGCGAGAAGAGGAGAACAGGCTGGCAGCCTCGCTCCCCGTCCGTCGCACGCTCTCCTCGTCCACCGGCGATGCGCTGCCGCCGGTGCAGCGAACCGGGCCCAAGGACGGGAGGAAGAGCGTGCCGTGCCGCCTCGCCTCCTCCGCCACCGCGCTCGCCTCACCTCACCGCCGCACCCTCGCTTCGCATCACCTCGCCCTGCCTCCACGCTCCTCCCTCGCCTCCGCATCACCCACCGCCGCCAATCCGTGAGAGAGAGAGAGAGACGAAGAGTGAGACAGAGTGAGAGAGAGAAGAGAGGAAGAGTGAGAGACTGCAACGTGTACACCACATAGACCAAAACCACCATGGATTGGGTCCCACATTTTTTTATAGATAGAATGCTGACTGGACTGCCTCATAGACCAAAACCACCGTGGATTGGGTCGAGGAGGGTAATTCGTCCGGTTTACATAGTTGGGGGTGAAGAATGTCCCGCGGATTGGGTCGAGGGGGGTAATTTGTCCGGTTTGCATAGTTGGGGGTGAAGAATGTCCGGTTTTGTGGTTCAGGGGGGTAATTCGGATGATCGCGATAGTTCGAGGGAGGGGGTAATTCATACTTTTCCCTATAAAATATAGCTAGTCCCATTTAGAAAAGAAAAGGAGTTAGCAATATAGTGCCCTTTTTCCTATAAAATATAGCTAGTCCCATTTAGAAAAGAAAAGGAGTTAGCAATATAGTGCCCTTTTTCCTATAAAATATAGCTAGCTAGTCCCAAATATAGTGCCCTTTTTCCTATAAAATATAGCTAGCTAGTCCCATTTAGAATTTAGAAAAGAAAAGGAGTTGGCAATATAGTGTCATGGCTACTCTTCGTGGGTTCGGAGAGAGATACCTTATATACCCTCAATCCCCCGAACCCTGCCAACACCCGTGTCCCATTTAGAAAAGAAAAGGAGTTAGCAATATAGTGCCCTTTTTCCTATAAAATATAGCTAGCTAGTCCCATTTAGAATTTAGAAAAGAAAAGAAAAGACCCGTGTCCTATTTAGAAAAGAAAAGGAGTTAGCAATATAGTGCCCTTTTTCCTATAAAATATAGCTAGCTAGTCCCATTTAGAATTTAGAAAAGAAAAGAAAAGAAAAGAAAAGGAGTTGGCAATATAGTGCCATGGCTTCTATCTCTTTGTGGGTTCGGAGAGAGATACCTTATATATACCACACCCGCCCCGTGTCCTATTTAGAAAAGAAAAGGAGTTAGCAATATAGTGCCCTTTTTCCTATAAAATATAGCTAGCTAGTCCCATTTAGAATTTAGAAAAGAAAAGAAAAGAAAAGAAAAGGAGTTGGCAATATAGTGCCATGGCTTCTATCTTTTTATGGGTTCGGAGAGAAATACCTTATATATACCACACCCATGGCATCTATCTCTTTGTGGATTCGGAGAGAGATACCTTATATATACCACACCCGCCCCATGCAGTGCCATGGCTTCTATCGTGGGTTAGGAGAGAGATATCTTCTATACCGTCAATCCCCCAAACCCTGCCAACTCCTGCCCCCTGCAGCTGGGGTGACAAGCTCACGCCACCGAGCTCAGTGGGAGCATAATGGTCTAAGACTACGTAGATTTCCCGTGTGGTACCAAATTTCTCCTGTGCGTAAGACTTGGGTTGCGCGTCTTATATGGGCTTAAACACAGGCTTGGCCTGCACCACCCAGGCGGTGTCGTGCCGTGCTTGGGCTGGGCCCTGCTTGGCACGGCCCATTTGCCCAGCTATACACCATACGCACGTACAGTTCCCCGGGCGACGGCACAGCACAATCGTGCGAGGCTCGCCTAAAAAAAAAAGGAAAGAAAAAAGAAAACCGTGCGGCGCCGCTCGTCCGCCCGCCGCTAGCGCCGACGTCACCTCTCTCGGCCACTGGTGCTCCGGTGCGAGCTGCTCTGCGCGGCGCCGCCACCTGAATCGGATCGGAGGGGAGGAGATCTCGGCCGAGCAGAAGCGGCGGCGGCGGTGCTCGCGGAGGAGGGAGTAGCAGCAGCAGCAGCATCGCAAAGAGGGGGAGGAACAGCCATGGATCCCGACGCGGTGAAGTCGACGCTCTCCAACCTGGCCTTCGGCAACGTCATGGCCGCCGCCGCCCGCGACTACCAGAAGGTGACTCACTCACTCCCCCCCTTCTTCTCCCGACGCTCGTTCACCTAGGTCTCGCGTGCCACTTTATCTCGCGGGGATCAGATCAGATCACTGTTCTTGATTGGGAGTGAGTTATAGTCTAGTACTCTGGCGGTTGATTCGGCCGCGGAGCACTTGGCTCGGCTGCGCTGCGGGCATGGGTTGTGGAAGGTGGTCTTTGGTTGGGATCATGAGGAGGTTTAGTTCATAAGGGGGGATGGATTATCTCCAGTCATGTATTCCAGGACAACTAGTAGAGTGATGTAGTAGGGTCTAGAGACTACTGTGTTCCGTTCTGAATTGGTGATGATAATTCTTTATCATTTATCAAAGGTTGCTTCTTCTCAAATTTAGCCAATAAACGTGGCTCAGTTGAAGATATTATTTCAATTTAGAATAATCAAATTTGGAGGGGATCATGATCCATCTGGCCGTTCTTTTATATATTGAAAATGGTTTACCTTCTGTTGCCTTCTGAATGCATGTCATGTAAATTTTGTAGGCAGTCCTTTTAATATCAAAATCGTCTTTCTGTAGTTTTACAGCAAAAAAGTGTGGGGTTTGCATCATAGTGTAGAGAAAAAGATATAACTGTCCTTCATGCACATAACTTGTTTCTTTTATCCTTTTATCTGTACTTGATTTTTCACAACTTGTAATGAGATTGGCAAGTTATTATCTTCTATCATTTTCATTTTATGTCCTTGTTGTAATTTTTCTTTTTTTTAAGAAGGGGTTGGGGGGTGGGGGGGGGGTGTAAAAACTGATCTGGCAGGTTGGCTGGTGGTGGTGGAGCTGGTGTGCTCCTAGATCCCTGCATCTCAGAACCAGGCGATTAAATCTCAATTTTAAATTGGAAGTGAGTTGTAGTCCGGTACACCTATCGTTGGAACTGGCAGCTGATTCACCTCGGCTCAGCTGTGCTGCGGGCATGGATTGTTGAAGGTAGAACCATATAGCAATGTGGAGGATGATCCTGGTAATACAGCACTACAGCAGTGTGATTTTTCGTCTTGGGAAAGGGCAGGCGCATTAGGTTTGAGCCTTTGGCTATGGGAGTGATGTTGGTTCATGCGAAAAATCTTGCCTAGTAGCATGATCCAATCTTTGGTTGGGAACATTGGGATTGGGATCATAGTTCATTAGGAGGATGGATTAGCTCCAGTCCTGTATTCTAGGACAGGAAATAGAGTGATGGTGCAGGGTCTAGACTCTATAGAGACCAGTTTATTCCATGCTGGTTAGGAGGTAATGCTTTATGACACCTCAGAGTACACAAAAACAAGGGCTTCTCCCATTTAGCCTGTAAATGTGGTTAGCTTGGGGTATAGCTTGCAAGTTTACAATAATCAAAGCTGCAGTGGATCATGCTCCATCTGCGCGTTCTTATGTATTTTGGTAATGGGTTAACTTCTGATGCATTTTGCTCTTACATGAATGCATGTTGTGTAAAGTTTATCGGTATTCTTTTTTTATATCAAAATGAGCTTTCTGTATATTGACAGCAACAAACTGTTGAAGTTTACATCGAAAGTATAGAACAAAAAGATGTAACTGTCCTTCATGCACATCACTTGTTTTTTTTTTATTTATACTTGATTCTTTACTCCTTGTAATGTGATTGGGCAAGTTCTTATCTTCTCTTATTCTTTGTGTCATTTTCACTCATTTCCTTGTTATAGTGGGGGTGAAAGTATTTTTACCCTCATGTTCCGATGCTGTGAACCTCTTGCATCTTTTTAAACAAATTTGCTTACAGAACAGGGTAATACTATTCTCTCTGCCCCCTTGTGATTTTGTTTCTGCATACTGACATAGTAATCATGTTAGGAAATTGTAGCTAAAGAGAAAGCCCAAGCAGCAAGTGCAAGCCATGATGAAGTTGATCTTGACGAATTATTGGATGTGAGTTGAACTATAGTATCTTTTATATTTCTCTTGTTTTTTTTTCTTTAGTTTGAAGCACTGAATACCTTTTTATCTATCATGCTGTGGAACTACACTATAGGACCCAGAGCTTGAGAAGTTGCATGCGGAGAGAATTGCTGCTCTCAAGGTAGTATCTGCATATTGCCCTCATGAAGCTTGTGAACTCTTCACTTTAAGTTATTCATTTGCCTGTGCATAACAGAAAGAGGTCGAGAAGCGTGAAGTGCTAAAAAGGCAAGGTCATGGTGAATATAGGGAGATAACTGAAGGGGACTTCCTAGGAGAGGTCACTGGCAGTGAAAAAGTCATCTGCCATTTCTACCACCGTGAATTTTACCGTTGCAAGTAGGACATAAGTTGTTCTTTAAAAAACAATACAAAATGTTTTATGATTGACCCTGATGATAATTCATGGACACCTATCTAAATGTTTCCTAGGATCATGGATAAGCATTTGAAGGCCCTTGCACCAATCTATTTGGGAACTAAATTCATCAAGCTTGATGCTGAAGTTAGAATGCGATCTCTATTAGCATTCAGTTAATTGTATTTTATAACAAAGATGCTGTCTAATCTTGTAAATAACTAATCCAGAATGCTCCGTTCTTTGTCACGAAACTGGGAATCAAAACATTGCCCTGTGTGATACTGTTCAAGTAAGTGCATAAACTTTCATCATTTCTACCCATGGATTTTTATCACATGTGCTCAACTGTTTGGTGCTTAACTTTTTTGAGGACCAACCCAAGAGTCAGACACTTTCTGTTTTTGCTGTCCAACTGACATTTTGTTATTTAGGAAGGGCATTGCTGCTGATCGGTTAATTGGGTTTCAAGACCTCGGCAGCAAAGATGATTTTTCAACAAGAGCATTGGAAAATATACTCAAGATGAAAGGTATATCTATTACGTCTTCACAATTACTTCAAAAATTGAAATAGTAACAAATATGATAACATACAACAATATAGGTATAATTGACGAAAAGAAGAAGGATGAGGATGATGAAGATGATGAAACCTATATGTCAATGAACAGGAGGGTCAGATCTTCAACCGCTCAAGATTCTGATTCTGATTGAGTATGAAGTGTTCCACTCCCCTGTAACATCAAGTTTCTTTTGTACTCTAGTTCTCAAAATATCTCTGTGTTTGTGTAATATGTATTCCGAATATTATCAACCTGGTTAGGAAATGAGTGACTTGAAAATGTACTGCCTAGTTAGCTGCATTTCATTCATACTGGCAAGTAGGCGTATGTGTTATCAGTTGGTATGCTTTACCCATAACAGTATCTACAAAGGAGTTTCTACTAGCTCCTACGTTGGTCATCATGCTGCCAAATTACTGGAGTAAACTAGTGTTTCAGCTAGAATGCTTGATTGGTGACTAGTACCATCTGTAACCAATTCACTGTGAACCATTACAGTTGCAGTTGATCAATTGGATTTAGTTCTCTCACACTGGCTTTGGTTTTGGTTTCAATTTGAGTTGGATTCCGCAGCAGCGATGTTAACTCATGCCTCCTTTGGAACTGAGGAATTTTGTGAGAATTTGGCAGGAATTTGACTCAACTTGTGCCTTTTCCTTCTTCCTCGCTAAGTTTTGCAGGAATTTGACTCAAACTTGTGCCTTTCCTTCTTACTCCTCCTGGCTGTCTTCCTCGCAATCAGAAAGCTCGAAGTCGGCGAACAATTCTGCCCAATCTTCCTTGAATCGTGCTGGAAGCTGAGCCCTGATGGTGAGGGGAATAGGTTCATTTTATAGGTTCCAGCGAGTTCGATTTTTGTCCTAGAATCGAAATACGAGATGCAACGGGTCCCTCAACTGCCAAAACTGGTGCAACGTACGTCCCATGACAGTATAGTGGGTGGTTTTGTCCGACGTGGCAACTTGATCCGAGTCAATCGCTGAGTCAGCATGGGCCCCACATGTTAGAGCCTCTCCACCTATCTCTCTTTTCCTCCGCTGTTCCCATCTCACGAGGTGGCGAGTGGTGAGGAGAAGACCAGCGGTGGGTAGTGAGGAGGACGGCGGCGGGTGGCGAGGAGGACGGCGGAGCGGCAGGCGGTGAAGAGGATGGAGGCTAGTGGTGGGTGGTGAGAGGAATAACTGGCTGGCGGGCTTTGCCACCAGGGATCCAACGAGACATCGCCTCTAGAAGTGGGCGGTGATGGCATCCTACCTGCCCACTGCAATTCCCATCGGGACGGGACAACGGGAACAAGGGGCAAGGGGCGGCGACGGGGTCCGAGATGTGTGTGAAATCGGGACGGCACACCATGGCGTTGTCCTTCTCACCTTCGGATTTACGTGTAGATCGAGACAGCTGGATGGCGGCACGCGATTGCAAGTTTGCAACGGTGAAGGCAAGAGGAAGGGGCCACTGCGAGCCTCTCTTACCGACCACCACCCTTCTCCCCACTAGCCACAGCCCGCCGCCGTTGAGTTTCTACCCGCCGCACACCTCTCTCATCGCCCACCGCAGTCAAGGCCCCACCCATGACGCGCCTCATAGGTGTTGCATTTCCCAACCGGCACATATAAGGATAAACAAGCCAAAGGAATGCTGGCTCGGCTCGAATCAATCCGACCCAAGCATATCAAGAACATCATTCATCATTCATCAAGAACACATCAAGAACATCATTCAAGAACCGTCACCTCGCCCTCTGCTCTGGCCTTCTCCACCACCATGCTGTCATGGGATGGAGATGAGGAGGAGGGCGCCGTCGCCTTCTCCACCACCACCACCGCTGCCGCCGCCGCCGTCGCCCGAGGGACAGGAGGAAGGGCGAGACTCCCCTCCCGTCGGATGGAGCGGAGGGGAGGGTGTCACCACCACCACCGTTTCCCCTCCCACCAGATCTGGCAAAGAGGAGGGCACCGCCGCAGTCACTAGGCCGTCACCGCCTCCCCTCCAATCGGATGGAGCGGAGGGGAGGGCGTGCCACGGGGCCGCTGCCACCTCTGCTTCCGCCAGATCTGGTGGAGGGGAGGGCGCTGCCGCCTACCCTCCCACCGCCAGGCCACCGCTGCCTCCGCCTGGTGGTGTGGTGGAGAGAGAGAGGGGGCGAGAGAGAGAGCTGAGAGATGGATAGAGTGGGAGAGGGCAAAAGGCAGAGAGAATGAGGAAAAGATAAGGGAGAGAGAGAGGTGGAAAGATTCAGCTTAGTCCAGTTTTCTAACCGACACCTACAATATAAATATAGGTGTTGCTTATTAAAAAACCAGGACATGTAATATATTATATGTGTCGTTTCTTCTAATAAAACTAACACTAATACTATAGGTATCGGTTTTTATTTAGAACTGGCTCCTATCTCTCCATAAAGGTGTCTGTTCTAGCTGATGGTGTTCCTTGGATGCGTGTTTTGGACGGGAAAAGCACTAGAAGTGCCGATTTTAGCATTTCTAGCACCTATGGTGACCACCTGTATGTTCTTTTTTTGTACTAGTGATTCATTTTTTTAATTTCTTTAAACATTGTATTGTTATCAACACTAAACACTTAAATTGATAAATATAGTTAATCCTCTATAGATCAAGAATCGTTTTCGAAGATATGATACCGACTCCGACCGTTTTCATCGCTATTTTTAGTTTTACATGGCCGCTCTCACTTCAATCCTAACCAAAGTGCACACAAGATATTTGGAAAAAATATATATAGTGCAAACCTAGAAAATATTTATAAATAGATATTTGAGATTTATCCATATTACGTTGAGTAAAAATTTTATTCCTATTAAATTAAATTTGGAAGTAATTTTTCTAGTAAAATGGACAAATTTAAAACATTAATTTTTAACCATACGGTAATTTTCTGGTTTGTTTTTGCACTATATATTTTCCCAGATATTTACCTATAGTAAAAACAACACTTTTTTTCTTTCTGAAAAAAAGATTTGTAATCCCAACCAATGCAGTGGAGCTGTGGAGGGGGTAAAAAGATCTGCCCATCACGGCATCACCTCCATCTGATGGGCCATCAGGGTAGATTCCTGCCCCCACCTCCATTTATCTCCCCTCGCTCTCATTCCCTTGTCTCCAACTCTCCAGTCTCCACCCACCTCACTCCACAGTCCACACCACTGCACCGCACTCTCTCTCTCTCCACCGCCATTAACGGTTACTTATCTCTCTAGTACTCCTACTACTGCTAGTGTGCTAGTGGTAGGAGTAGTCTACCAGGACTAGTACTCCACTCTCCGAGAACCAAACAAATCGACAGGAGGCGGCTGGTGTGCGCATGTGACCCGGATCGATCGACAGCGGTCGCCCGCACCGCATTGCCGCTGCTCCCGTTTAGTCCAGCCGCCGCCTCCTCCTCCTCCTCCGCCGCCGCCGCCTGTTCAGGCTCCGGTGAGGTCTCTTGTCTTGATGTTTTAATAGATTGTGGTAGGTTCTTGGTTTGTGATGGTCAGAGAGTCTCAGAGATGAGGCAAAGGAGGGTTCTTTGGTGCTGTCCTGGGGGGTTTCGGTTGGGTTTAGGGTGCAGTGTGCTTGTGATTGTTGCTTGGCTTCCTGTGCTGCATTATTTTTGTTGATTTTGTTGGTGATTTGCGATTTGTGAGGACCACATTGGACTGGGATTTTGGTAGCAACTAGCAAGAAGGAAGAGAATACTATATGTGGGGAACTATTTTATTTTAGCCCTCTCTTTATGTTTTTCTTTTCTCCCCTTTTGCCCATGTCGTGGTGGTAGGGCACACTTATTGTTTTTTTTTTAATCTAAAGAACCTGAGCCTGCTGGGTCATTTCATCAGGATTTGGTATCTGCATCGAGAAAGATTATGGCATTGTGGGTGTTGCTTTTGAGGTGGTGAATTTATGAATCTATGAATCTATGATGTTGTTGTTACTTGGTCAGAGCTAGGAATCGGAGAAAGGTGACTTTGCTTGTTGCTTTTCTCACCATTTTACTCTTGCTGCTCTGGTGTTTGCCTTAATCCCTAAATTGCTCAGTCAAAGGCGTTCGCTTGAATGGACTTGGTGCATTTGGCCATTGGGTAATGATTTCTTGAGCATTTTTAGGTTAGCAAGGGTAGGGGAGCAAAGGTTGTTCCTTTAGTTCTTTTGCTCTTTACCTTAGCCCATGACATTGGTTCTTGCCGGTGCATGTTCCCTGCACCGGCGGCCGCCATGGATGATGCTTGAAGAGTTGGAACTTTGGAGGTCTGAGGAGGCTGAGTTTTCAACAAAGATAGAGATGAATGTTGCCCGTGGAGTAATTCTTGTGAGGCCTGCAGATGTGCCGGCTAATTGCCTGATGGAGTGAACTTTTTAAAGACTTTCTGTTGAGTTGGGCATCTATAGCTCAAGTTAGAAGGATATGTGACGAATTTTGTGCCTCTGTTCAAAATTGTTTTATTGGTGTAATTTGGATTTCACTAGTTTATTTTAAGATTATGCTTTACTTAATGTTCTTTCTATTGTTAGTTATTTCTACTAGCTGGAAGCATGACCTTTCTTCTTTGTTGTTTCGATTAGATCCAAGGACTGAAGACTACTGCCAGTTTCAGGGAGGAATTCTACTCAGTGGTAGCTTGTGGTTGTAGCTGGTCTTTTGATGAATCTGTTGGTCTCAAAAACATTGTAGAATAGTATTTGTTGGTTCGTTGAACACAATGGGTTCTTCGCCATCCAAAGCCACTGGTGAGGATGCCCTAGTTCTATGCAAGGAGCGAATGCGCCATATCAGGCGAGCTATTGATTCAAGAGATGCACTGTCGGCATCACACCTATCATATACTCAGTCCCTCCGTAGTGTGGGTACTGCATTGCGGCGGTATGCAGAGTCTGAGATCTCACCAGAATCATCACTGTCCATTTCAGAAGCAGATAAGTCACCATCACATTCTTCTATGGCTTCTCCATCACCTTCTCGAGCAGTAGAGAGCACTGGCTCCCCAGTACATCGAGGTAGTCAGCTGACTCCTCCCTCAACAAAGATCCATTACATGAAAGCAGCAGGAACAAAACCTTTGACGTTCACTATTGATCCATCTGCTGCTGACTTTGTGGGGCAAGAATCCCCGGTATCTACCTTTGTGCCACCACCACCACCATTGCCCCCTGAATTATGTACCTCGTGGGACTTCTTCGATTCCAATTATACTTCTGGTAGTGCCACCTCAAATAATGAGAATGGAGTGACATTAAATTTTAGTAGATTGAAGGGCCTGAGAGATTCAAGGGAATCTGAAGCAGTCTCGCTGAGAGAAGAAACAACAAACAGGTCTGATCGAATGCACCCAGAGCTTCCTGGTGATAATGCAGCACCTAAGCAAGAAGCCCAAGCAAAGAAAGGTGGGATGAGTAAGCCAAGTGGATCGGTTGAGGTTACAACTGAAGCTACTACTTCTGGGCAAGTTGGAGCAAAGGTGGAGGAAGATGACATGGAAAAAGAATTGTGCACAGAAGCAGAAGACCCTTCAGAGTTCATCACTCATAGAGCAAAAGATTTTGTGTCAAGCATGAAAGACATTGAAACTCGGTTTGTACGTGCCGCAGAAGCTGGGAATGAGGTTTCCAGAATGCTTGAGACAAAGAAGATCAGACTTGATATATGTGCTAAGATTCCAGGTGATAATCATATGCTGAGTCATTGTCTTGTCTGTTTTTTCCCCTGCACCATGCCCGACATTGTTTGATGGAACTCCATATCTTTGTTTTATTCCTCAAATACCAGGTTCTCCAGGCAAGCCACCTACTGCCCGATTTGTGTCCGCACTTCGAGTCTGCTGCAATCGTGAGAATATTCTCAACCAGGGTAAGTAGGATGCTTTACTGACCTCTTCTCATATTTTTACCATAACATTTGTTTGAAGTACTAATTTTGAGGTTTTCTGTAGAAACTGCACAGAATATCTCAAAAGTTGTCACTTGGAAGCGTTCTGTATCATCTTTGTCCTCATCATCTAAGAGTCCACTTACAGCAGCAATGATTACTGATGATGTGGGTGATAGTAACAGTGATTTTGTTGAGCAATTCGCCATGGTATCTGGAAGCCACTCGTCTACCTTGGATAGGTTACATGCTTGGGAGAGAAAACTACATGATGAAATCAAGGTACATTTTCAGTACATGTGCACTTGTGCAGTGAGATTTCTTTAGTATTGCGTGCAAGTCTCTACTCCTGGCTGTTGATTGGGAATTCATCATTAGTGTCACTTGTCTACAAAAGATATTTGCTTTATTGTATACCTCAAGTGAAATTTGGTCTATTTTAGTTGCAGTTCTCAAATTTTTATTTAAAAGATATCTCTTGCCAGAAGACCTGACAATACAAAGCATATTTTGTATAGTTATTTGTATTGATAATACAATTTAGTTTCTAATTTGTCAGCAGAATTGAACTCTTGTACAATAATTAGCAAAGACAGTATGCAGGCTGAAAGTTATTAATATGAAATTTTGCCCTCTCTGTAGGACTGTCATTGGCATAATGGATCACTGATACTGCATTATTTTGTTTCTGTAGGCTAGTGAACATGTTAGAAAGACTTATGATGAGAAATGTAACCTTCTCCGGCGCCAATTTGCACGAGGTCTAAATGCTCAACTGATTGATAAGACCAGAGCTGTTGTGAAGGATCTTCATTCCAGGGTGTCTGTTGCGATCCAGGCTGTTGATGCAATATCAAAAAGAATAGAGAAGATAAGGGATGAAGAACTGCAGCCACAACTTGTCGAGCTGATCCAAGGGTATAAACTTGTACTTAAACATCACCTACTTGTACTTAAATATCAAACTTGTCGAGCTGATTTAGCAGTGCCGTAACTTGATCTTGCATACTTTATCACAATTGTTGGATACAGTGCATTTGTTGAAGTTTGATATTTCCTTTTTCGTGCGTTTGGTAGGAGCATTTGAACTGTCAACATTACTCACAATTTAAGTTTGGTGCTAGAACATTGAAAATTAGAATATAACGATTCACTATCTTTCAAGAACCATGTTTTGTTGGACAATTTGAAGTCTCACATTTCTAACTTAAGCTGTAGTGAAAAAACAACTTGGATTATGTTGATTTTAAAGTTCAACTCATTTCTTGCATATTAAACCTTGAACTGACCACACATACCTCGTGCAGGTTAATCAGAATGTGGAAAGCAATGTTAGAATGCCACCACAAACAATTCATCACAATATCACTGGCATACCATGTCAAGAGTTCGACCATGGTGCAGCAAGGTGAGCACCACCGCAGGGCCGCAGCGCATCTCTGGAACGAGTTGGACTGCTTCTCGTCCAGCTTCAGGATCTGGGTCACTGCTCACAAGTCCTACGTCGAGTCCCTCAACGCGTGGCTCCAGAAGTGTGTCCTGCAGCCAGCCCAGGACAGACGGAGGCGCAAGCGCAAGGTCTCTTTCCCTCCCCGCCACGCGCTCTCCCCTCCGATCTTTGTCCTCTGCAGAGACTGGCTTGCCATGATGGAGTCACAGTCACTCCCCACAGATGAGCTCTGCAAGTCCATCAAAGAGGTGATGCAGCTCCTGCGCGGTTCGTTTGACCACCCGGCCGATCATCAGGACAAAACGACGACCGAATCGCAGTCTAGAAACGAGTCGCAGGAATGTGGGATGCTGGAGAATAACGAGCAGGAGGTGAGTGGAAGCGTGGAAGCAGTGGAAGGGTTGCAGTCAAAGCTAACTACGGTTCTGGATCGCCTGACAAAGTTCTCAGAGGCTTCACTGAAGCACTACGAGGAGCTCAAGCAGAATTATGAGATAGCTCGTGATGACTACCAGACGGGTCGATCAAATGCCCATCTTGTTTAGTCTGATGATGATCCTAGGTCTACAATTTTCAACCCTATGATTCTATTCCTACTAGTAGTATTCTAGTTGAACATCTGAGAGTATTTTGGTACATATAGTACGTTAATGATGAGGTTGTAATACATATATGTTGGGTTAAGGGTTACAGTTGCAAAAATATACTTCGGTACTATATTTGCCAAAGCTCAAGGATTGTCAGAATGGCCCAACAGATTGTTCATTAGGATGCATCTTGTCTCCTTTTAGTTTTGCAAAGATTGCTGGTAGATTTCTGCATGGTGAAAGCATAGGCTTGTCTCCCGCAGAATTCATAAGGAACTGTTCAGATTGATGCCATTTTTCCATTTTCAAACCATACCTTTTTTAAATAAAGTTATCAAAAATGTGTATATATTTAGTTTTATGCCAAACTTTGGTAAATACATAAGAAATTCTACCAAAATTTTAATAATATCACTAACTTACCAAAATTTTAATATTGGTAAGGTTTATTTTGGCTATAATCTGAATAGCCCCTAATTCACGTTGGCAAGGGAGGTCACACGCACGTCGTTTTTCAGCCCATCTACGATAAGCCCTTTTCTTTCTCGGGAGTAGTAATCAAGGTAGTTTTTTCTTTTTTTTCCTCGAAGGTCGTTATTTTTACTAACGGATTAAAAAAAAATTAAACCTGAAACTTTCAAATAAAAATTAAAACTTTCTATTAAAAAAATTAAAAATCATACCCAAATTTTAAAACTCTAAACTCTAAATTTGAACTTTCAAATTAAAACTAAAAAAAATTTAACTCAAGATTTAAACTTTTAAGTAAAATTTTGAAAACATTCAACTCAAACTTTGAAAACTTCAACTCAAAATTTAAATTTTTAAGTCAAATTTTGAAAACTTTAAACTTGTCATCTCAAATTCGAAAAACTTTTAACTTAGACTTGAAACTTTCAACTCGAAATTTGAAAACTTTTAAGTCAAGATTTGAAAACTTTCAAGATTTATTATGTGTGCCGAAGATTAAGAAAAACGAAAAAACAAAAAAAAAAGGAAAACGTGCCGAGGGACGGAGTCGCCAAAGTCGAAAAAAGAAAATCGCAAAAAAGAAAAAGAAAATGCTCGAGCGGGGGAAGGGGCATCAGCTGTAACTTCATCACAAAAATCTATTCATGGCGCAAACTAGCAATACATTATATTAAAAAAATATGCAGCATATATATTTAACAAATGGAATTTTTATCTTTACAATTCAAGCAGGCCAACCGCGGAAAGCTTAATTGCATGACCTAGCCATCTCGTGAACAGCTTTTCGATAGCATGACAACAAGTGTCAGGTCAGGGTTTCAGGGGTGGGGTTAGGGGAGGGTGGCACTTGGAAGTGGAGATCGGGCTTACAGGAGTGGCCTGGGAGGCGGTGGACCGGTGGTAGATAGTGGACAAGGGCAAACAATGGAGGTGCAGCCGGAGCCATGGGGTCGGTAGCGGTGATACGTTGGTGCTGATTGTGGGGGAAAAGCGAGGCAAATGGGACGGGAGTCGGGAGGAGGCTGGCTCAGTGGGGTTGCGTAGACCCGTTGATGCATGTCAGTGCTGGCGAGGCGGGGTGGTGTCACGGTGTTAAGCGGTGGTACAGAAAGAGTACCCTGGTTACCAAACGGTCTCGCTAGCGCCGAAGAGGGGCACTGCCGTCATCGTCACTCGCTCCGCTCTGCTCATTCTCTGTGTGGACAGAGAGACGCCCGGGAAAATATACAATGGAGACAATGTGGGAGACTTGCCCATCCAGCGCGCATGCGCTGATTAGCACCCCCATAGCAATTAGCTATAATAAAGTGGACAAATGAGACCACTATTTATCTAATAATGTACATTATTTGCCCATCTACTATTTACTACACTCCTGTACTTTATGGTGATTTTAATGTTATTTTCTATAGCATATAAGTTTGGTTCACTACTAAAAAAACGATTTTTCATGACGGTATCCTATTTTTTCGCTGGCGATTAAATGAAAAATCCGCTTGCGAAATTATAATGAGGGATAGAGGGTTTTGGACCGCCAATAAAAATCCATTTTCGCTGGTTGTAGGTCAAGAAGTCCGCTTACAAAAATAATCCTATTTTTACTGGCGGTCTTCTTAACCTAATGAAGAGCGCCGCCTTGAAAGAATCACGCCATTAAAAATTCACCGCGCCCCCACCGCTCTTTAATTATCCACCTACCCATCCTTATCCAACAACTCTCTCCTCTTCCCTAGTCCCTCCAGATCCAACATCTCCTCCTCCCTCCAGATCCACAGGGCGGTATCCCTCGGGCACGGGGCGCAGGCGGCGGAGCGCGAGCTCGGGTGTGGGCGGCGGCTCTCGGGCGCGGGCGACGGAGGAGACGACGGCGGCGAGCTCAGGACGGTCCAAAGTCGGCGCCGGGCGGCGAGCTCGGGCTTGGGCGGCGGTGCTTGGGTGCAGGCGACGGAGGAAAGGGCGGCGGCGCTTGGGCGCGAGCGATGGAGGAGAGGGCAGCGGTGCTCGGGCGTGGGCACCGGCGCGGGCTCGGGCGCGGGCGGCGGCGCTCAGGACGGGGAGGCGCGAGGCGACATCTCCACAGGTCTCTCTCTCTGTCTCTCTCTCTCTCTCTCCCGCTCATCCCTCCTCCCCTTCCCCCGCCGCCACCACCCCCTCTCCCTCTTAATGTGGTGATATTTGTGATGCTTGAATGCTTGGGTGAATGGAAATTTTTGGCTGTAAATTGTTGATGTAAATTTATGTAGATTTGTGGATGGAGTGTTGACGGAGGTGGACGGAGCAGTGTTTTATTTTATATGTTTTTGCTTTTCGAGTTTCCTTTTTGCTGGCGGCTAGGGCAACTGCATGGTTTAATTTTCGCTGGCGGTCGATTTAACACAGCCGCCAGCGAAAATGAATTTTCACTGGCGGTCGGTGTAAGGCAACCGCCAGTAAAAATGGATCTTTGTTGGCGGGTGGTTTAAGACGAATTTTTGTTGGCGGTCGATAGATCTTAATCTTCACTGGTCTTTGCTTTGTGGCGGCTCTAAATTCCATCAAGCAAAAATCTAAAATTGCCTTCACAAAAAATGGTTTTGTTAGTAGTGGTTGTACGTATCTCGGTATCGTAAGTATATATATCGCTGACACTTAAAAGCCAACATGCTAGGTATATTGAGAAGCATATGGCTCAGACCGCATTCCGATTGGGGCATGGATGATGAGATGTGGAAGATCAAATGCGTGGACGAGTTTATGTGCGAGACTGCGACAAGTCTCACTTGGTAACTGAGGTGAGGTATAGAACAGTAGTGCAAGTGGGTAAATATAGGGGAAACGTAAATGCAACCGAAGAATTTTACCTTTTCACGGCTTCTATATATAAACTTGGCAAGGATAACAAACTCAATATGTGTCTCTGCAAAGTGTAAGCAATGGTTTAGACATATCTATCTATTCCACGCACCAAATCCTCCAAGCGTCTTGCTATGCTTCTGGAGTCAAGCAGCAAGGCTGTGCAGTACTTACTAATCGAGATGTTCGGTACTCGTACTTACTAACCAAACAAGCGGAAGTTGCATCTCCGGATATAGGCCAAGCCTGATGCAGGCAACCAAACACACCCTATATGACTTTACTCTGAATGCATCCAGCCGGTCCAGCTGAAAGTTATGGTAAGTACAATAGCCTCATCTACTCTGCCTCAACAGAGATGGAGGATGCACTAGTTCTGGTAAGTACATGTTGGGAGGGGTAAGTAGGAGACAGTTGTGTCCAAAAGTTGAAATTTTATAGTATTAGCATGAGTCATTTATGCCATACATTTAAGTTTGAATACTTGTGTGTACGCGGAAGTTTACAAATTATTTTCTCTGGGTTGATAGTAATATAATTTTGAAAAAAAAAAAACTCTAAGAGCAACTTTGATCACCATTTTTCAGTACAATATATACTCCCTCTATCCAAAAGTTTATAGTTCTAAAAAATTCCAAAAGTTTATGACCTATTTAATTTTTTTGGTTTTTCCAAAAGTCTAAACCTTATCTATAGTATCTATGTGCTAAATTAAATTGTTAACCAGAATCAAGAAACCATCTTAATACTTATTGATTGCATGCATGCGTGCATGTGTATAGTTTAGAGTAGGTACAATAGCAAACTATAAGTCAGCTATAAACATATTTTAAGGAGATAAAAGATGAGAGAGAAAAGCAGCGGGTTACAGATTTGTAGCCAGCTACAGCACGGACTCTAAGATGCATGTGTGCATGACAGGTGGGACCAGACATAGGTACATATTGTATGAATTGACTATTAAATTGACTATGTAATTTAGAGCCAATAGTTAGCTGTACTATTAAACTTGCTTTTATAGGTTTTGTCACATGATAGATGAGTTAATTACTTCTTAGTCTTGGTGACAGAAGAAATAGGTCTTTGAACTTTTGGATGAAGGGAGTATATAATAATATCAATGAATACATGTTTTTGTTAAAGTATTTTATAAGACTAGTCATATGGTTTCATATATGTAAGATAAAATATTTTAGATATTATTTGTAGTTAAAGGTTTTAAATTTTAACCATAGCCTTGTCCGAAACAAGAGTATTATTAACCTACATAAAATACTCATGCGAACTTACCTTACAACAGCACGCGAGTACTTTTCTACTCAAGAGCCTAATAATGATCAACCGATCAACTAAAAACTAAACATGCAAAACAAAACGGCCTCTCACCAATAAAGAACTACTACTAGCTAAGTCAATCTGCATATGTAGCATATCATAGTTAACATTTATATGCTTTATATATAAAAAAGCGAATATTAGGGAATGATCTAATATCACATAATGAAAAGAAGTGAGACTTCAAACACAGATCGGCTAGCCCACATCTTGTGGAGCTAGCTGAAAAATCCCTGCGCGTTTCTCATATGCTTTATATACAACACGCATGTAGCGTTTCTCATACGGTTTTGAGCTAATTAGACTAATCTTCCATTTGACGGACGTCCACCAAATAGCTAGCCTACCATCGTGCGTATTGGACACCGAAGAAAATAATTAAAGAGGATGTTCACTTTTAACCGTATCAAATTTTAGTAGGTAACATATACTTCATCCGTTTCACAATATATAGCACTACCAAATTTTAGAAAGGTTCAAACTAAACATATCCAATACTAACAAAATTTGGTAACATGTCCAAATTTTTTTTTACTAAATGTTGGTAAGATGATTTTCAAGTAAACAAACTCGAAAATCCAAAATATTGAGTAAGCTATTGGGCCAGGACGGCCCAACAACTCGGCTATTAATAAGCCCTCCCTCCCGTTCGGACAGACACGCACTACCAGGCAGCCCAACCCACCCGCGAGCTAGGGTTTTCCAGAGTTCCAGAACCCCCACCTCCCTAACCCTAACCACCCATCCTCCCCGGCGGCGGCGGCGGCGGCGGCGAAGAGAAGATGAGGCCGATCCTGATGAAGGGGCACGAGCGGCCGCTGACGTTCCTCCGGTACAACCGCGACGGGGACCTCCTCTTCTCGTGCGCCAAGGACCACACCCCCAACGTCTGGTTCGCCGACAACGGCGACCGCCTCGGCACCTACAGCGGCCACAACGGCGCCGTCTGGTCCTGCGACGTCTCCCGCGACTCCACCCGCCTCATCACCGGCAGCGCCGACCAGACCGCCAAGCTCTGGGACGTCCAGACCGGGGCGGAGCTCTTCACCTTCCGCTTCGACGCCCCCGCCCGCTCCGTCGAGTTCGCCATCGGCGACGGCCTCGCCGTCATCACCACCGACAACTTCATGGGCAACGTGCCCACCGCCCAGGTCAAGCGCATCGCCGACGACCCCGATGACCGTAAGATGCCTCTTCTCTAACCTTCTATTTATGTTTCGAAAGCTTCTGGTGGCTTCTATTTGGATTGGGAGTTGGAGGGATTGGTCATGGGAGTTTCATTTTAGTAACTCCCTCCGTTTCACATTATAATATAAGTCACTATAACTTTTTTCTAGTCGAACTTCTTTAAGTTTGATTAAGTTTATAGAAAAATTTAACATCTATAGCATGATATTAGTTTCATTCAAACTAACATTTAATATATTTTGATAATATGTTTGTTTTATGTTGAAGATATTGCTAAATTATTCTATAAACTTAAGTTTGACTAGGGAAAAAAAAGTGAAAGCGACTTATAATATGAAATGGAGGGAGTAGTAGAGATGAGATGATGAGAAACATCTCGTGATACTTAGGAGGAAATTCCCTTCCAATTACGTGCCCCTATCCAGGTATTGAAAAGGTGGGAGTTCACTCTTAAACTCCCCTTCCCAATCCCTCCTAAAAACTCCCATGTCCTCCAACCAAACAATTGACTTAATCCCCACCCCTCAAACTCATATTCCTCCCTAACAATTCCCCCCAACAACGTGGGTTCTGAAGTGTGTGGTTGTGGATGAAGAGTCGGAGGAGTCTCTTCTCGTGATTTCTGGCATCAAGGGGAGGATTAACAGGGCTGTATGGGGGCCGTTGAACAGGACCATCATCACCGCCGGTGAGGATGCCACCATCCGCATTTGGGACACTGAGGTTAGCTTGCATTTACAACATTTGCACATAGTTCTACTAACCATCGTTGGTGCTACAAACTCATCGCTAGTACTAGGCTTCTGGTGCTTTTCAGGAATGCGATAATTTGCTTATAACTGTGGTATGTGGACCTGTAGCGCTCTTGTAGGATCATTTGACATGTATCTGGACTGACAAGTGAAAAGTTGTTTAATAGTTAAAAATGCTCATCGATATGGTTGAAAAATCATTGTTACGTATGTGTGATTGTCAGTTTGTTATTGATGGCAACATTATGAATTAACATGACATATGTTAGTGACTATTGAACCAGCGATAAATACCTTTCAGGTTTCTTGTTTTATTTAAACTGACTCTGGCAATATGGTGCCAACGACAAAATGGTAGTTTGTGTTTGTGCACTAATTGAAAACATGCTACATTCATACATAATGTACGCTGGGTTGTCATTTTACCTTTTATTAAACATGCCAACTATTTAATTGTATGGGTAGGAACATGTTTTTCCGTCAACTCTATCATTGAATGCATTTTTAAATTCTGTTTGGTTTGGCATGTGCAGACTGGAACATGTCTGAATGAGTCAGACAAAGAACAAGGACACCAGAAAACAATTACTTCACTTTCAAAATCTGCAGATTGGTCACATTTCCTAACAGGCTCCTTGGATAAGTCTGCTAAGGTGATATTTTGTTGATGTGGCTAGCATAATCATGTCTTCCAATTGTTTGCACTTTGTGCTACAAATATGATTATTTCCTGACATGCACATTGCTATCTGGCTAGCTATGGGATACAAGAACTCTGACCCTGATCAAGACATATGTCACCGAGCGACCTGTTAATGCTGTTGACATTTCTCCTCTTCTAGACCATGTATGTGCCTATGTAATACCTAATTTTTATCTACATTTTCGTAAGTTCTTCTATAGATTTTTTTAATCAAAATACATGGTCATGCTTTAAATTACTTGGTGTTATCTCATGCTACATGCATATGATCTCAATATGTAGTAGGGATTGAAATGACCTTTACTCTCTGTCTCTGTATTTTGCTTTGCTGTGGTCCTCCTTATAAGTTGAAGTTGGATATGACTTGTGCTTTTTTCCGAAGATTCTGGTTTCTTCTCTTCTCCTGCTGCCACATTTTTTGTTCTCAGTTTCAAATCATTTTCTTTGTGTGATTAGTTTCACCAAGACGAGAGCAACAAATGATTCATTCACATGTTTATTATCTGCAATTAGTACTTTTACATGCATAAATAACAATTAATATACAATGGGAAGTTCAAGGCACCTATATACCTGTCCAGCACATCTTTTGACCCTGGATTTAGCACAATTCCATATTTATTTGAGTGCTGTTGGCTATCAAGGATGTGTATTTTTACTACCATTGGAAAAATGTACTATTGGCTACATCTGAACTATCCACCTGTAATGTTGCTGTAATGAGTAGTCAGTTCTTGTTATCATTATTCCAGCTATATAAGTCACAAGAAATCTTTGTTGTGTTAGGTGGTTATCGGAGGTGGTCAAGATGCGATGAATGTGACTATGACAGATCGTCGAGCGGGAAAATTTGAAGCGAAATTCTTTCACAAGGTCAGTTCTTTGCACATGGTTTCTATCTTATGTTTTAGTGAGAACAATGATAGTGTAGTTTTCTTTTGCAATGTTATTTTTTCGTTTAGCAATAAGACACTTATATTTTACTTTCAGATTTTGCAAGAGGAAATTGGTGGTGTAAAAGGCCATTTTGGACCAATTAACGCACTGGCATTTAATCCTGATGGACGGAGGTAATATTCTTAATACATGTGTAATATTATATGAATGCTATATTTATGTTCTACCACCGCACTTATGTTCTCGATTAGCTTTTTGTTTCATATTACTTTGTGTGTTTTCTGCTCAATGATTAAGCCATGTTAATCCATGGCAATATGCGCTATTCTGAATCATATTAAGATGTCATAAACATTATGAGAGCAGGTGTCTATTTTGTATTTTAACCTGCCACATGGATTTTTAGCACATTCTTGTGGTTCTACTGGCTGTGTTTACATGGGTATTTCTCTTCTTTTTACTCAAAAGTTTTTTTGACTTTTATATTGTTGTACAACTATTCATCATTCACCTGTTATTTTAACCCACCGCCTCTCTAGATTTGTCCCTTAAATTGGTTCATTGGTCTTCCTATCTGTTTGACATTTTTGTTCTCCATTGAATCCTTATGTTTTTTTTGTTTCTATTTGTCTTGTTGAAGTACTTTTCTTGTCATACATAGCTCAGTGATTGCAGCCGTTTTCATTGGCAATATACGCTATGCTGACTGTTTGATGACAAATAAGAATATGAGAGCTATGCCATGTCCAATATTTAATTTGATAACCTGTTAGTGTGAAATTGAGTTGCATTCTTAGTATAGCTGTTTGAAGCGTCGTATGTGCCTGTTGGTTTCAAAGCTCTGTGATTTCAACCAATCACATTGGTTTTATACGCTATTCTGATTGGAGCTGTTGAAAAATAAGACTTATGAGAGCTACCTTTTCTGTCCTCAACATCCACGAGGCATCCTAGGAAGAAACATAGTTATCTATCACCTCCATATTTATATAATTATTATGTTGATGCAAGGTTTCATGTATTGATTGAGTGTATCTATCACCTCCATATTTATATAATTATTATGTTGATGCAAGGTTTCATGTATTGATTGAGTGTATGTGCATAAGGTAATGGCTTCATGACCATTTGCAATGCATTTTCCATTGGGAGCCACTATTTCTTTATCTGAAAATTGTAAAGTATGTCAAAATATATATTTTTTAAATTGCAAGTTAGATTGATGAAGGTTTATACTTGGTCTCATTTGGTGATGTCTTGCTGGGGGCACTAAGCTGGCCTTCTGATGATTGCTGTATATTTTTATTTTATCTCATGGTGGCTCAGTGATTGTTGCCAATCAGATTTGGTCATATACGCTATTCTGATTTCTATTGGTGAAAAAGAAAATTTATGAGAGCTGCTTTATGTGATAGCTAGTTTATATTCTTCAAGCATATTTTCTCACATGTCATGGTTAATTTATGTTGTTCAGAAAGTGTTTTGCTTTGAGCTTCAGTTCTTCATGTATAATACGGTGTTAACAGCTTCTCGAGTGGTGGTGAAGATGGATATGTAAGGCTGCACCATTTTGATTCTGACTACTTCAACATCAAGATTTAAAGCAAGAAGTTGTGAAACTCTGAGGTAAGATGTCCTTCAGCAGCAAAGCATTAACATTGTATCTTACCAGGCTCAGTATGTTTTTTACAGCACTCTTATTCAAGTTGCTCAAGTAGTCAAGTGTTCATTTGCAATTATTTGTGATATAGTAAGATGTCCTTCAGCAGCAAAGCATTAACATTGTATCTTAACAGGCTCAGTATGTTTTTTACAGCACTCTTATTCAAGTTGCTCAAGTAGTCAAGTGTTCATTTGCAATTATTTGTGATATATTTTACACTATTATACACACATAGAAGTGAGTTAGGTCCTCTTTGATTCAAAGGAAATTCATAAGAATTTTAGATGACTTCATTCCTAATAGGAATTTTTCCTATATAGCCCTTTGAATGGAAGGAATGAATCCTATGAAATCCTATAAAATTCCTATGGAATGTCTCTTTCCATGCAAGTTTTGGAGGAAATTTAACATATATAGCCCTTTGTATGGAAGGAATGAATCCTATGAAATCCTATAAAATTCCTATGGAATGTCTCTTTCCATGCAAGTTTTGGAGGAAATTTAACATATATAGCCCTTTGTATAGAAGGAATGAATCCTATGAAATCCTATAAAATTCCTATGGAATGTCTCTTTCCATGCAAGTTTTGGAGGAAATTTAACATGAATGGAAAGAATCCTTCGAGTCTTTATCTCAAACTCTTGTGTTTTTCCTACGGCCCAATCAAACAGTCATTTCTATGTTTTGCAATCCTCTGTTTTACACTTACATTCCTGTCAGAATCCTATGTTTTTCCTATTTCTCCGTTTTCTCATTTCTGTGATTCATAGGGGCCCTTAATCTTGGAAGTGTGAGCTTGATGCTTTTGCCGTTGGCCTAACCAGTTCTTCAACTTGTATCCAGGCTGCATTTGAGGAAGGCCGAAGGTACCTTTTGGTTGGGAAGATGTTTCATCTCCTGTCATGTGGAAGAGACTAAGGTGCAGTGTTTAGCTACTGACAGTGTACTGCTTCTCAGACATTCTTGTTGCACTGGAGATCCAGATTTTTAGATGCTCAAGAGATTTTGTACATTCAGCAATCGAGGGCTCCTTATACTGCAATACTAGCTTAATTCTGTTTTCATCGTTGTTGGTTTACTTTGACCATAAATATATATCCAGTTTTGGGCAGATCCTTCGTCTGTATCGTATTGTGCTTTTGATTCGCGTTCTAATTACGTGCACATGCTTACTAGGGGTGAAATTTAGGATGTCTCACCGCATGGCAAGCAGGCCCGGTGAAGTGCTGGCAGCAAATTTAGTTTACCGGCATGCTCGTTCTTCATCCTGAAACTCGAGATCGAATTTATAATTCGACAGTGAAAAAGGAAATAAGCTTAAAACAGTGTAACATTATAGAGAAACAAATCAGAACAATTCGGTTTTGGACTTGCGAGAGAACAACCTGGGACGCGCGCTGCAGCGGTGGTCGGAACGATAAGAGCACCGTCGCGAGGTCGACGCGGAAATATACCATGCCCAATCCCACCCAAACCACCAACGAAGAAGCCAAGAGAGAGATTGGTATAAAGCCTTGAGAGAGAGACTGAAAGGATCGGACTTCATTAGTCAAGTCAAGCATTAAGCTGCATGCAGCCTATGGCCGTATGAGATGCTCGTTCAAGTCTTCCTGCGTGCAGCTTGTGGCCGTATGAGATGAGCAACTCAACAGAGTTGCTAGATGGCTCTCCAAGCTAAATTTTAGCTCAAACAGTGAAAAAACTCACTCCAACAGCTTGCTATTTGAACTGCTAAGCTATTTGGATGGCCAAATGTAGCCAGCCTCCTCCCCTGGCCAAACGGTGGGCCCCACTGTGGGTCCCACTTTCTATCTCTTTCTCCATCTCCCCTCTTCTAGTCTTCTCTGTCCGACGCCGCCCCGGCCTCCTGTACGCTCGCCGTCGCCCATCAACTGTGCTTGCCAAGGTCATCGTCGCCAACCACCGCCGTCGTCGTCTGCGTCGGCGCTAGCCGCGGCCGCCGTCGTCTGGAGGACTCTACCTCTGCGCGGTATCCACCCCTGCCGGATTTGGCCAGCCGCACGACCTCGCGCGGATTTGGCCGGCGGCATGGATTCGGGGCCGCGCGGCCTCCGCCTTCACGCCCCGGGTCATCGTCAAGGTCGCCGTTGTTGAGGTTGTCGTCATGAGCCACCACCGCTGTCGTCTGTGTAGTCGCCGTCGCGCGGATATTATCGCCTCTCGAGTTGCAGGCGAAGAGGGGCCTTCGTTGCGCACGGATTCGCCGCCGTTGGCTTCTCCCCTCTCGCCGTCGCTGTAATCTTCGTCGTCCCTCGCCGTCGAGCGGCGGCGGCGATGGAGCCCGAATAGCGGCGACGGATGGCGGCGATGGATGGGGACGGAGCCCGAGTGGCGATGGCGGCGGAGGATGGCGACGGAGCCAGAGCGGTAGTGGCGCCGGCGCCAGCGGATGGTGGCAGCGGTTGGCGGCGGAGCCAGAGCGGCGGCGGCAGAGGGGAGCAGAGCCCGAGCGGCGGCGGTACCGCGGTAGATGGCAGCTGCAGATGAGGTCGGAGGGGGCTAGGGGAAAAGAGGGTTATAGAGACTGACGTGTGGGTCCCACTGTCATATACTTGCAATAGAGAGGGTGAATGAGGAGGCTGTTGGAGTAAACACAAGTTTGACTTGCTAAATTAGACAGAGAGTTGGTCAAATAGACATTTGGAGAGTTAGATTTGAAGAGACTGTTGGAGATGCTCTAAGGGCACATACAACGCTACTCATTAACGTATTTCTTCTGTTTTCATGCAAAGTAAATTAAGTAACGTGAGGGGGAGGGGGGATATGGTTGCTACGCATAACAACAGTCATAGTCAAGTCGTAATATTTTGTTTCTTGGGAAGAATAAAACGAAAAAAAGAGTAATAAAAAAATATTTGTGTGCATTAAAGGTGAAGAGATTTTGTTGTCTCAACTATTCTAGGAGAATATTGTATAAGTGAGTATGTATTAACTAAGAGCTCATATCAGACTCTACCTTTTGTATATGTCTTTAAGAGAAAGACTAGTAGGATCCAACTTAATTAGTCATATCAATTCCTAAGAGAGATTGATAGGGTCCGACTTAATTAGTCAAGTCTTCCTACATCCAGCTTGTGCCCAACTTAGGGCCGCCTGGGATGCTCGGTCATTCACTCGCACGCATGCTCACTATCAACGAAGCGTTGATAGAAGCCCTAAGGGAGAGACTTTTTCTACACTATCAATAGAATTTCGCACCGTCTCGTACGAGTCGTTTATTTTTTTTCTAAGGGAGAGACTAGTAAGATCCGATTTAATTAGTCAAGTCAATCCCTAAGAGGGATTGATAGGATCCGACTTAATTAGTCAAGTCTTCTATTACTACAATACAACACTCCCAATATTGTACCTCATTTCTTTTCAGATTTTGGTTACAATATTTTCACGCGCACAATTTTCCAACAGTACGAGTTTGGAGAAAAAATACTACATAAAAGTATTTTAAAAAATTCATATAAATTTATTTTGAGTTTATAATAGTTGATTTTAAATAACCATTCACAGGTTATAAAGCCATAAGCCGCCCCATTATAGAACGGGGTCTTGTAAGGACGTGGGAGGTAGTATCATCATCACTACCAAAATAGATTTGAGAGCTGAAAGCCGGTCCTCCTTAAACCTGACAGCGACAAGAGTGTATGTTTTTCTTTTTTTTTTAAGAGAAGGGTATTTTTTTTACCTGGCCTCTACATCCAACCTGATATACGTAGTCTTTTTAAATTAGAAAATTAGCCTGTCAAATAGGGAACTTAGCCCTCCAATAACTCAGTTTGAAATTCACTCCTATGGGAGATTTAAACTCAGGACCTTAGGGTGCTACTCAGGTCACTATAATCACTAGGCTACATGTACGTAACACTTCTAGTTACAATATGATGCGGTGAAGCTAGTTTTGTACTACCTCCTTCTCAATATAAGTATAGTTGTGGGCTTCCGTATCCAACGTTCGACTATCCGTCCTATTTGAAAGAAATATGATTAGTATTTTTATTGTTATTAGATGATAAAACATGAATATTACTTTATGTGTGACTATTTTTTTAATTTTTTCATAAGATGAATGGTCAAAAGTTGTATACGGAAACCTGTAACTGCACTTATATTGGGACGGAGGTAGTAGTGTTGTATTTTCATATAATAAAGCTTAATGTTTTTTCTTCTATTACTTGTAAGCAAAAAATTAATGTTTAATTAGTTGCATGCTACTGTTAGACATCGATTTAACGAACATTGTTAAACACTATTTATATACCCGTACTAACGCTTAATACCATCACCACTACCAAAATAGCTTTTGGAGCTGAAAGCTAGTCCTCTTTAAAACTGACAGCGACAAGAGCGTACGTATAACACTTCTAGTTACAGTATGATGCGGTCAAGCCAGTTTTATAGTAGTGTATTTTCATATAACAAAGCTTAATGTTTTTTTCTTCTATTACTTATAAGCAAAAAAGTTAATGTTTAGTTGCATGCTACTGTTAGACATCGATTTAACGAAACACTAATAATATATCCGTGCTAATGCTACGACGCTATTTATTAATGTAAAACAAACCAGAAGGTGATGATATATATTTCAAGAAGCTTCTTACAAAAGCTTAAAAATTGTTGGTCTTAGATCATGATGGGGCTAAAACTTTTAAGTCACTATCACATCGGATGTTTGGATACTAATTATAAATATTAAACGTAGACTATTAATAAAACCCATCCATAATCTTTGACTAATTCGCGAGACGAATATATTGAGCTTAATTAATCCATGATTAGTGTATACGATGCTACAGTAAATATTCTCTAATTATGGATTAATTAGGCTTAAAAAATTTGTCTCGCAAATTAGCTTTCATTTATGTAATTAGTTTTGTAAGTAGTCTATATTTAATACTCTAAATTAATGTCTAAATACCACCTTACTCCATATTCGAACAAGATCACCACCTTACTCCATATTCGAACAAGATCACATATATCAATCCAAAAAACCACATAAAAAAAAGAAAAAAAAATGAACTCTGTTATGAGATGTACCATTGACATCACCGCTAAGAACTAAATTACCTACGATATTATTGCATGTCTTCCTTATTAGGAAACAACATTATGTCTTTAGCCTTTAGTGCTCAAAGTATTTCTTTTGGATTTTTAGGGGTGGAAATGCTCGCCACCTAATTGCATCGAAAAATAAAGGAATCAAACAACCCATACAAACTTTTGTAACAACGAAGGGGATGACTCCAACTCCAAAGAAGTCATGCAGAGGGGAAGAGAAAAAAAAAACGATTGAAACGACGAGAAAAAAAAAACGATTTCTAACAAGAAACAGCAAATCAGTCTTCGGTCTTGAATCGGTGGGACCAAAGTCCCGCATCTTGTATGGAGCTGCGGGCTGCGGAGTAGTCTTGCCAGCGAAGGGCTACGACAGCATATAAAAAATTGAGTTCCACGCACGGTAGAAAACGCACCCTTGCACCCTTACAGCAAGTATTACTAGGCTATAAGCTGGTTAAATGCTAAGGTGAAGGAGAGAAGAGAGGAGAGAGAGGAGAAGCGGGTTTTAAACTTACAGCTGGTTTGGACATAAGAACCAAGAAACTCTATGAGAAAGATAAGTGGGTCCTGTATTAATTGTAAAGAGCTAACTATTATATGGGTAAGCTAAAAAAAGGCTAAAAAAAACCTTATAGCCAACATTAGCCTTGCTATAAGGGCACCAGCAATGATAAAGATGAAGTGGTCTATATAGAAGGGTCCCACAGCATGTGGTATTAGTTATTGCAAACCACACACAATATATATGGATATCATAGGAAATAAGGTGGGTCCTACAAGGCTACAAGTAAAAGGCAGGAGAGAGGATACAGTAGTAGGAGAGAGAACACATGATTTTTTTATTCCTTACGGGTGGTCTTTATGTCTAGGGTAGCTCATCATAAGGTTACCTATAAGGACTACTCCCATAGTGTACAATACCACCCTATAGGCTTAAGACCCCCTTATGGCATACATTGTGGATGCCCTTAAAAATAGAATCACTACTAAAATTAAAAAAAAAATCGTTACTCCTTATGTGAAGTAGGACGAAGATAAGTAAAAATGTCCGTGTGTTGCAATGGGTGAATATTATTTTAGTTTTATTATTGATGTTATACGGTTTAGGTAGGGTAAAAATCATTGTGGAAATTCGCTTGAATATCTTTTTTAGAAAATCACGAGTGATAATAGGAGTCCGACTCTTATCTTAAGTTAGCATGCAATTTTTTAAATACTTTTTTATATGACTCCTTTTGTATTTTCAAAAGCGTCCCAAGTTAGCATGCAAATTTTTTAAAACATTTCTTATAAGACATTTTTGTATTTTCAAAAGCAAACGAACTTAAAAACCGACTCAAACACAGATCTGTATTTTCAAAAGCGAACAAACTTAAAAACCGACTTAAACACAAATGACCTATCAAATTATCAGCAAAAACATCTTTAATTTTTATAATAGTAGAGATTTAGCTCTCCAAGAGATTTTATATGAGGTAGAATGAAGATAAACTTTATATTTATTTAGCTCTCCACGAGATCTAAAACTCCGTTGTTCAAAGTTTTTACAATTGAGATTATTTAAGGGTTTGAATATTTAATTTTTACGGATGGTTTGAAAATATGAGCACAACTAAAATGTATAAAAGGTAAATTCTTTTATATTAACTCCGATCATGATAAACTTTATCTAAAAATTGTATACAAAAATCACTATTTTTCGTGCGGGTGGCACACTCTCATGGAAAATTCTGATTTTCACGTGTGGGTGGTTATGTCGCCCGCACGCAAAAATAAAAAACCAAAAATAAAATAAAATAAAATAAAACAAAACCCTAACTCTAAAGTTGCCGCCGCCGCCCTCCTCGCGGTCGCCCTCGTCGTCGCCGTAGCGGTACCCGGATCCGCCGCCTCCCCACCGTCCGAGCCCGCCCGCCCGCCGCCACCAGATCTGGGCGGGGGGCAGCCGCCTCCGCCGGATCCGGGCGGGGGGTGGTCGTTCGCTGTCACGCGCACACCACTCCCGGTCGCCCGCCGCTCCCGCCCGCCGCCGCCGCCGGAGCCGAAGGAGGCAAAGAGGCTTGAGCTGGAGGAGAAGGAGAAGGAGGCGGCGCCAGCACCGGCTGCCTGGCCCGCGGGGCGCGAGCTCGATGCGGCCGCGCGGTGGTAGCTCAATTGAAGTGAGGAGAACATTGAGAGGATGAGAGGAAAGTGAGGAGAAGATAAGGGGGGGGGAGAGAGAGAGGAGAAGAGAAGGGGGAGAGAGAAGGGAAACTTGAATTTTTTTAACACGTTGGGAGGGAATGGGTATTTTTTCTGTGCGGGTCGATTAGGAGGCCCGCCTGTGAAAATTGAGTATTTTTCTGTGTGGGCCTGTTAAGAGGCTCGCCTATAAAAATTGATTTTTGCGTGTGGTTTTCTTAAGGTATCGCACA